ACATTGGGAAAGACTTAATTATTATTAATATTAAAATTTATTAAAATTAAATTATTTTATTATGTAGGAATATAGTCGCGCCCTTCACTTTGTATACGGATATTACAGATTTTATCTTACAAATTTACAGTTAATATTTTTCTCGTCTAAGTTATTTTATTATATTTATGGTTAAACTATTATTATTTAAATAATGTTTTCCCTATTATTACCAGAAGCTTGTTTTTTCTAACAATTGAACTTTACCTCAATATAAAATATACAAGTATACATATAAATGCACATACATATACATAACCCCTCTCCATCTCTCGCGTTTTATTGCCCACCGAAAATAAAGAATCGCGAGATATAGCGAGGAAATAAAAGGAATATCAGTGTGCGCAAGGCAAATGAGAGACACTTACCGAAGTACTTGTCGGGTTCCAGGCCGGAGTCCTTGTCCAGGCCGCATATGACGAAGTAATCCGCGAATCGTTGCGGATGTTGCTCCGAGCCGCGCGTGATTCCCAAGCTCCCGTTCATCTTTCCTTCGACGCGCAACGACAAGTTGCGACGACGCCGCTGCTGCGCGACCCCGCGACAGCTCGTCACTTCGCACCCTTACACCCCGGTCGTCTTCACGAACTTGACTTCCACATCGCGCACCACCGACGCGAGACTGTCATTTCATGTCGTCGTCGTCGTCGTCGTCACGCCGAGACAACAGCTGAGCGAGCGCACGCGACGCGCACGAGAGACAGGGCGAATGCACTACCGAGCGCTGTACAGCGCAGAGTGAGCGCGGGTCTCCCGCGAATAATTGATCTTTTACCGCGCCGCTTGAAGTTGGCCGAGAGTCACTGCGCACGCGCGTCCGCGCGGCGCGATTATTTGAATTCATTTTGGCACACTCGTGGATTTTTTCGCGTCTCGTGCAAATCGTATACGATCGAGAAATATATTTTTCATGCTGATATATACAGTACCCTTCATAATTTAAGTTTGGAAACACCTCACATTTTACAGTTAAAGAATTGCATGCGGCAGCGATCTATTATAAATAAAAATGTTATTTAAATATTTTACGTTTATTTTATGATTTATTTATACAAAAAATCCTACACAGATCTGTCAAAAGAATCCTCTTAATTTAAGAGAAAAATTCTCTAAAGAAATATTCTTTAATTAGATATTTGTAACATGCAAGAATATAAACTTTTTTATCAGTATATTATTTGAAATATTATTAATTGTGATAAGAAAAAACAGCCTTATAAATGGACATATTGTTATTTATTGCATACAGTATACTTTTCACAAGTTTAGAAACACTTTACATTTAATAGTTAAGCAATCGCATGGCAGCGATCTGTCATAAATAAAAATGTTACTTAAATATTTTACGATTTATTGATACAAAAAATCTACACAGATCGCTACCATACGATTGTTTAACTGTAAAATGTAACATGTTTCCAAACTTATGGAGGGTACTGTATATATAAATCTTGCGCAGAAACTTTGATATTTAGATACTGATTATTAAATATAAAAGCACAAAAAATCATATATAATTCTGCTAGCAATTTAATAGTAATTATTATATTATTATACATAATTATATTATTATATTATTTAAATTTGATTAGAAATTCTTTGAATCTCACAATTGACAGTAAAGTCGTTTGTATATATACATATACATGCGGAGTAGATTCCAAGCAAGTGTTTGTGGGTATTTGTCAGTATTTGTCACGCTACGGAAGGTTAGATCTCGATGATCAAATCGAGCCGAACCTCATAAACACGCGATAGCAGCGAGGCGGTAGCGGCTCCACAGATTTTCATCTTTTTACATAGGATGGAGGAGATCGACAATATAATAATTCATTCGTTGCGACAAATAGGCTGGTGAGTGTCCGATTCGCGATCCCATAAGACAGGACGTTGCACGTCGTCCTTCCCCGATGGGCGGTGTTTTGTAATGTTCCTCGTAATCGAACGTCGTACACGTGAGAGCTCATCTAGAATTTGTCAAACCGCATATTATCAGCAACGAAGAATTTTCCAACATAATGCACAAAAGGATTATTGTGGCAAAAAGTTTTATAAAAATCTCTTCCCTTAAGAATGAGATAAATGTATGTTTTGTTTTCTCGTCAATGCCTCTGAACAATTTCACAAGATTTGTCTGATTACAAATTCTATGTAATTTTCACTTTTCTTTCACTAATAATATATAATTCTTGTTTTTAGTGACATTGAAGAGAATGTAACAAACCTAAGTGGCTTTAACACAGAACTAGTTGTCGAAGCGACAGTGAGATGCTTGGAAGCAATAAGGCCAGGTTTAGGATTGTCCACTGTACTACCTGTAAACATGGCAGCACGTTTTCGTCTGGGTGCTACTCTTGCACAAACATGCACGGTAAATATGTATATATTTTAATAGATTCTCAATTTGGATGTAGCACGATCAGTTATGATTTTATTAATTTGTCATCAATTAATTAAAATTTTAGGAACTTGGATACAGAGGTGACATTGGTTATCAAACATTCCTATATAATTCGGAAGCAGATTTACGAAGAGTTTTCATGTTTCTCATCGAAAAACTGCCAAAGGAAAGTGAGAAAACTGTAAACGAATCTGTCAGTAAGGTTGCTTTACTAGAAAAATCAGTAGCATCTGCGATATCACAAGGACTATCTATACCATGGTTACCACATTATTGTCATAAAAAGGGAATTAGGAACAGAGGAAGAGCGAGTACCCCTTATGTATCTGTACATATTGAAGTACCAGTATCAAATATGGGGGATGGTAATATCAATATAAATTGATTAGTTTTTTTTTTTTTTTTTTTTTTTTGCTAGCATGTCAAGAAATAATAACTGATATACGAATAAATTACTATCACTAATTGCAGATTACAAAGACTATTACTTGCGCTATTTACAACCAGTGCCTGATCAAATGCAAAATATTTCATGCTTTTTACCTTCTATGATATCCTATAATGCAAAAGCGCTTAATGCTTCTTCAATGGATATTATGGAGCGCATAAGTTGGCTTAACAGTCAACAATCTGAAAAAATTGCTTATTCTAGTGCACATAATATTGCCAATGAGCTTAGCAAGTTCTCATTAGAAAACAAGAAACAAGCTTCAGCAGTAAGTATAGCTTTTGTTATATAGCCATTTATTATACAGAGCAAAATATGCATATTCAATATGATTTTTTTTTTAATTTTCAGAAGTCTCAGGTAGAAGCAGAACTTGCAACACATTCAGTGCTTCCAGAGCAGGAAATGTTAAAAAACAAAGCAAAACAGGAAGTTGAAATAGAAAACATGAAAGCAGAGTGCGAAAATCTTAGGATAAATATAGAGGAAATGCAAAACGAGATTAAAAAATTAACTACTAAATTAGCACATGCGTCGATCACTGGTCAAAATGAAGAAAAGGAATTAAAAATTAATGAGGAACAAAAAAAGATCAAAGCAAGAGCGTATGAATTACTTCAAGATGGACCAGAGAACATAAAGAAATTGGAAAATGCAATCGAAATTAGTACAAACAAATTGATTAATTTAGCAAATCAATGGGAGAAGCATAGAGTACCCTTAATCATGAAGTATAGACAAGAAAGGGAAAAGCATTCTACAAAAGCTGTAAGTAACACAAAATTAACAAGGTAATAAAAATATCGTTTATATATTTTATAAACGCGTAGATTTTTCATAGAATGCCAGCCAAAAGAAGTTAGATGAAATAAAATTATTGAAAGAAAAGGAGAAAGAACTTCAGGAGGAATGTCGGAATAAGGATCAACAGCATTCACAGCTAGTTGCGGAAGTTCAAAAACTTCCAAAGGAAGTAAATAGATCTGCATACACTCAACGAATTTTAGAAATAATAAATAATGTTAGAAAGCAGAGGGACGAGATAAGCAAAGTACTGGCGGACACTCGTGAGATTCAGAAGGAAATAAATACGCTCACTGGCAGATTGGAGAGATCCTTCACCGTTGTAGATGAACTGATATTCAGAGACGCGAGAACGAACGAAGCTTCGAGAAAAGCGTACAAACTATTAGCGACGTTACACTCGGATTGCAATGAACTCGTAAGTTTAGTCGAGGAAACAGGTGCGACAATACGAGAAATCAGAGATTTAGAAGAACAGGTAAGATGACAATAGCAAAGTCAAAACTAGATTTATGTAGCGTGAAAATTCTATATTCTGTAACAATTACTCAGATCGACTCCGAATCCGCTAAGAATGTTGGCGCTAATTTGGAGAGGATAACTGCCGATTTAAAACAGATGAAACAAGAAACCGCTGCGTTAACGGCACAATTACAGAGCAAAGCTTCGTGATTGTTATGTATAAAGTGTCATTTTACATGTTGCAATATTCAGGACCAGATAAGAATATATCTAGTGCAGGTACGAAAGTTCACAGATATTAGACTCATATAAATAATTTGATTTTTTCTCTATAACATTGCCCAATTTAAATAGATATTATTTTGCTCTTTTACAGAATATAAACGAATACGATCAAATGCATCGAAGACCAAACATTTTTTTAGTCATACAGCTGGCAAAACATAATGCGACATTGCCCGCGAGAACTTTGCGAATCTACTGAGTTGGCTGCTGAAAAACGTGCCTTGGCCTGGAACAGTCAGGCGCTGGGCTTCTGTAGCCTCAGGTCAAGTGTATAATGACGTGTGAACATCAATGCTCAAAGGAACGTCAACATTTCTTACAAAGCCTAATAATTTTTTAGCATCGAGTTCGACTTTCGTATTTCATGCAGCTTGATAAAAGATCTGATTTCAGTTGTAAGTAAAATAAATACTGAAACATTACTTTGAATAAGAACATGTACAAATATAAAATATGTACAAATAATCGTAAAATTAATTTTTAATACTTTATACATACTCTCTTTGCAACTTATTTTTCTAAAGTAAGTGATATGTGTCACACATATATAATATTGCAATATTAATATTGTTGAAAGATAATAGTTCTGTTGGTTTTTTTATTTTAATCCTTTATACATTATATGTTTAAAGTCTCTGTACATATTGTGTTCTGTTTTCTTTTTCTATATTTTTATTTTTTTCTATTTTTAATATCTGGTGGTATGTAAGACTCTGAGGCAACCAAGTCTCTTAATTTCTTTGCACTATTGTACATGGAACGTATACGTTCGTCCTCTTTACGTTCTTTTTCCTGTATCCGCTCTATTCGTAATTCATGAGCTTCCTCATTATCAAAGAAGGTCAAAAGTTGTTCTCTCTCTTTCAAGTCCTTCTTCATTTTCTCTATGTTAGCTATCTTCTTTTCTCTTTCTATTGCTTTTATTTGTGTTTCTAATATCGAAGTCCTTACATGTTCCCAGTCAGAATAAGTCTAAAAAAAAGTTGAAATTAATTTGCTAAATAGCGAATAATTGATCAGACTGAAAAAAAGTTTTCTTCATTAATATTCATTACCTGACATTGCTTAGAGATATCCTTCTCAGTCTCCTCCTTTACACTGGCTGTAATAAGATTCTCCATTGTTTCAATTAAACTTTCCTTAAGATTTTGTTTCTCCTTCAAGAGGGATAATGAAGCTTCCATAAGTTTGAATCTCTCAACATCTTGATCTTGCAAATTGCTGTTGTCCTTCGATATCAATTCAAATATTTCTTCGTAAACTATTTTCTCCTGCATGGTCTCCAGCCATTCCTTTATCAAATTCAATGCATCGTCATATTTCTTATATAATATTAAACCCCTCAGTTGACAGGTTCTTCCCAGGGCATCCATCCTGTGCTTTCCTTGAAAACTCAGAGTCTTTCCCACGAGATCTCTCGGCTCCACGAGATCAAAATGATCGTCGAAGTAAGGATTCCTCAAGTATCCCACACGCACCTTCACCTCCTCCTTGGACGTATCCTGCGGCACCTCAGGTCTCTTCCAATCGTCAGGATTCTCCAGATACTTGTGACAAACGTAAATGCAGAACGCGTTTGTAATGGGATGCCCAGTTTCTTCCTGCAACATCACCAGGCTCGCTATCTTCGCGGCGGAGGCGTAATCCTTCCTCTTCACAAATTGGTCCATCAGCATGTTGTAGTCGAAGCAATCGGGGAAGATGCCGTAGTTGAGTCTGTCGTTCAGCACCTCGTGCAGTTCCTGAATAAAATTGTGCTCCAAGAAATACCTTATCGCGGCGTGATGCGTGGACTCGAGGGTGTTTGACGTTTCTGTGGACTGTCTGAGATTGTGCAGCATCTTCATCAGTTCGTCGACGTACGAGTTGTCGGTGAGGCTGTTGACGAAGATATCGACGTCGACGGCGCTCACCTTCCCCACGTTCCCGTACCTCTGCTCCAGCTCGGCGAACATCGTCATCGGCTCGATCTTCCGCAACAACGGCGACTCCAGTCTGCGATTCCACGCCTCCTCGCAGCGATACGCCTCCGAGAGGAACGACCTCCTTTGCGTCGCGATTTTAGGTCCGCGGCAGAGTCTGCGACTGAATCTGAGCGTCTTCAACATCTCGTCACTTCTTATTATCTCTTATATTTTATTCATAACATAACATTATATTTTATTTATTTTTCTACCACTTCCTATTAGGAGGTGCGTGCTTCCAGGGTTAGATTTTATTTTGACCGATTGAGGTTATGTAGAATTTCACGCCTAATCTAACCTCAACATCGTCATTTTGTCCAGGCATAAACTATGAATAGTTAGATGGATGATTCGAGCGCAGAAAAATCGGAGAGAGAGAGAGATGCTGGCATTTTATGCTTTTTGTAGACGTTTACAGGTTTCTCTCTCTGCTATGAATTTTGGAGTATCAACATAACCTACTTTATACTGTAATTGTTTATATTTTTATAGAATATACACGAATATGTTCACATTTCATGGTATTTTCTGTACTTAAGACACTTTATAATGTTTGCGTTATTGAGAGAAGTGAATTTCTGGAGCTTTGACGACAACATAAGCATAGAAGACACGGATTTTGGCGCATTCAAGTAAAGGAGCATCACATATTATTAATAATAATTATTTTTAAATTTCTCACCCTGTGCTATAAGTGCGTGTTATTGCAATAATTTGATTGTAATTTTTTGACAGGTACCATGACAAACGAATTGATGGCACATATGAAGAAGGTAAAAGATCTTACTGTCAAGAGCGTGGTATGACTTACGTTCCAGAAAACAAAAAGGGGAACAAGTTAAAACATTCTATTAAATATTTGGAGGTATAATAATTGAGTGTCATAAGTATAAAGTTTATAGAGATTATACACTATAGAATTTTTATCATTATATACAGGATCAACTCAGAGATAATTCTGTAATTTATTGTCAATGGTATAGTGATTCTATTGTACAATTAATGCTTAGCAATGGTTTGTTGATACAAATACAAGTTTGTCTCCTCAGTGGTGACATACAAGAAATTTATTTTGACAAGTATCTCATAGGAAAATTATCAGAACATGTGTCCGATGGTAAGCATTATTTTATTCATATAAAAAAAAAAAAAAAAAAAACAAGATTATTTGTTATTTACATAAAAGATAATATTGTAAACTTTTTTCTGTTCACAGTTATTATTACCAAGAATCATTTAGTTTGTATATACAATGATAATCTAGTGACACTGGTGTATTTTACAAAACCTAAATTACATGTCTTTGATAAAATCAATAAGTTAGAACCTAAATTAATCACGACAGATTTATTTGTACCTAATGGACGTAGATTGGATAAGAAAATTCAAGTAAACAAATCTGCTGACTTGGTAAATAATTTCTGTACAATTTCTAAAAATTGTAAATTAAAAAATATATTTGGTAATTAATCTACAGGAAATTATGTACCTTTATAGATATTAATTTGGCGGAAATCTACAATGAACGAAGTTTATCCATGGAGTCCTGCTATGAAACAATATCATCGTGCAAACATGCATCTGTTTCGGCTTACAGGGTATGAATTGAGAAATATAGTTTTATGTCATGCTTTTTTAATCATCTTCTTCATCCTTTTCAACAAATACATAAGATTGCTCGTCTGTTTGATCTCTTTTTGATGCATCTTTATATGATTCTAGAATTGTCTCTTTTTCCTTCTTCTTTATTTCCTCTATTTTCTTACATAAATTCTGATGTTTCTTTATGTACAATTCCCATGAATCTTTCTTGTACTGAGGAGTTACTGATAATTCCTTGGCAATGCTTCTGGTGATCTTTTTCGGTAATTCCCATGTACCCTTACAACATTTTTTATTTACAATTTTTATATGAGCATGTTTATATAAGTATGTAAAACTTGGAAAGATAACATCATTTTTATGCAAGTATAAAATAATAAAAATAATAATATACAAAAAATAAAAATAATTTATATTTATATATGAATGTTTAATGCATTTGTAATTTTCTCTATTTATACAAACTTTATATATTCCCCACGGCGAATGCTTGTCTTTTTTAACATCATCTAATATATGTCCATTGTCATCTGTGATAAATTTTGTAGTGACACAGTGTCTACTTTGCAAACTCGGGTACCATTTAGGAACTTCCCAATTTCGCAATCTTTTTGGTGCAAATGCATTATCTGTCCAATGTCCATGCCAAAATTGAGACATTTCTATACAATTCGTTTCTTTTATAATATTAATAAACACCAATTTTATAGAACTGTTACTTAAATATTACAATTCCTTCTGAGATGTCAAATCATGTGGTTAGTTATGCATGTTATTATGCTTGATGCTAGTTGCTATGGTCATGTAAATCTGTTATGCTTGTGTATATGTATGCAAAACACTATATGCATGTAGATCTAATGATTGATATTTTCAGAACAAAATTAGAATTGCTGTGTTACATACGTACTGAGTTTGATCCTTTGTGTATTACATTTGATATATGTGATGACAATATTATTCATTCTGTAGAACAAAAAGTTTCAAGGAAGGTAATTGTTGTGTATAGTTCATAATTTTCATTTTTTTCATAATTTCTTCTTTTAATTTAATTCAGATTTAATCATATGCTATATTAAAACATACAAATATATAAATGTAATTTAAAGGGAGAAGTCACTGTGGAATGGCGTACCTATGAAATTTCTCGGCAGAATAAATTGAAAAGAATTGCCGTGATCTCTGTACCATTGCCTACGCATACAAGTTGTGTGAGATTTTCACCTCAACAGGAATTACTGCTGTTATGTTGCATTGATGGCACTATTATGATATACGATCAAACGAAATCGACAACTATCAATGTAAAGGCTGCGTTTGTAAGTCATATGTTATTAAATAACGCATACATTTAAAAAAAAGAAACTGATATATTTTTCTTTCTTCAGATACCTACTTTAGCTGCTTGGCATAGCGACGGTATAATATTCATCGTAGGTAATGACAGAGGTCAATTTCAACATTTTGATATCACTTTAACATGTATCAAAAGCCAGACATTGAACGACGAAGCGACACCAGCGAATATTCTCGACTTGTCACCATATTTCAAGTACGAACAATAAAATAATTAATAATAAATATATGTATTGGCAATAAAAAAGATTTAATTCATAAAATAATTATATGAAACAGGAATCAGCATACTTTGTTACATATGGAATGGAACAGGAAAAGCGACACAAATCAAATTTGCTATTATAATAATAGCAATGCTTTGTTCTTGTTACTTTTTGAACGGTAAGTTTCACGCATCATTTCATAATATGTTCAATATATAAATGGATGACATAAGAATTTCTTTATGTATTAACAGAGGACCGATTGGCGTTATTAAAGTGATCGAAGGCGATAATCTATCCGGAGACGAACTAGTCAAAAGGTATTTGTCCGAGTCTCGAGTAGAACAGGCAACTGCTTTGCTATTGTCATTGAATTGGGACACACATTCACATATATGTATGCAGTCCCTGAATCAAATCTTAAATTATTTATTCAAGTTACCATTAACAGCAGAACGCGAAGGTAAAATTTTTCGTCATTTCCGTCATCTATTGATTAATTACGAATGGCTAAAAAATGGCAGTCTTATCAATTTGAAACAGGTCTGATACAAAATGCACTAGGTAGCTTTCATGTGCCTGTTAAACCAATAAGTCAGGCTGTCGAAGAGGAATACGGAGATGAAGTGAGGGATTTAACGAGACGATTCTTCTATCACTTATTAAGGTGATACACGTTATTTAATGTATTTAAAGTATAGTATATTGAATAAATTTATTTTAACAAACTTTGATAAACTTTGTAGATACAGAATGTTTGAGAAAGCCTTCAGACTAGCTATTGATTTAAACGATCACGATCTCTTCATGGACATACATTTCTATGCTATGGTTCTAAATGACATGGAACTGGCAACTGCAGCCAAAGAGAAAGCTGAAAATATTCTGAGTAGATCAAACAGTTGCAATGACTCGCGTAAGAATTGTTTAAAAAATATTCCAAAAAAAGAATATTATAAAACATGATATATCATGATATTTTTTTAATAGATTCGACATGTTCGAGAGCATCGTGTTCTTTATGCTCTGATTCAAGCAATGAGAAAGGCGAGGAAGAGGAAGAAGATGAAGAAGAAGGAGAAGAAGAGGAAGAAACGTACAGTGAAGAGAGCGAAGATTCTAGGAAGGAAGAACGAGCCAATTTAAAGCAATCGAAAAAGCGCCATTATAGGAAAGCCTCCAGTCAAATACCACCTTTACCGGTTGTCCATCCTCATCACGATATCAAGAACTCACTCTCTACATCCTACAACAATATTCCGTCCATTAATAAGACTGACTATACTCTAATACCTTCGCTCTTGGATAACAGTATTTTAACAACAACTTCATTTAATCACTCTTCGCACATTTCGAGTCCATTTCTAGCATCGACTTCTTTCAACAAATCATACAATGCACAGTCGAATTTCACGTCAACCAACTCAAACATCATCGACAGCTCTCCAGCGTTTAATAACGCATCGGACGATTTGATGACTACGTCATTCGGTAGTGTTTCTCTCAACGAACCGGAAGTGATGGTCGATGATCAACCCGGCGATAATTTTGACGCGAAGTCATACGACAAGTCATTACTTAACGAAATACCATATTCTTTCAACGGTTTTGTTATCAATGCAATGCCAACTTGCACACAGGACGATAGCTTCATCTCAACTCCCTTTAATAAGCCGGTGTATGAATCCGAAGATATTGAATCTAATTATTTGGCAAGTCCGTTAAGTGTTGTTGATAGTAACATTATGTCAACGTCGTTCAGTACTCGAAACATTCCCACTTCGCATAGTAATGCTTTCAATGCAACAACCACGAATAATTCCGAAACAACGTCTTCCATGTTACATAGCGCAAAGTCCTCAAAGCTAACTGATAAATTATTAAGTAGAATTCTCATTGATACCGATGCTCGTTCTTCGACATCTCAGTCCCTTCTTCCAAATAATATCTGTAACAATCTGATGTCCACCTCGTTTAACTATTCCGAAACTAATATAGCTCTTGAAAATAGCGAAATTATGTTCTCCAATAGATTTAGTGGCAGCGATCAAGCTATTAAATTACAACAATTTGAAACAACAGTGGAAGAAAAGGAAACGAGCGTCGATATTCCACCACCGCCCACTCTGACAAGTTCTCTCGCTAATTATCTTCACGGTCTACCGAGAAAAAATTATCCTCTGTCCAAGAGCGCTCCAGGTTTATCGGACATCGACGAATCGGTTCACAAGTTTTATATGCCATCGCGCGTTTTGCAAAAACCGAATTCCATGTCGTCTAATGTATCTCAAAGTCAGAAACTTCCGTCCCCGTCTTTCAAAACTTATAGATACAATTATGATCTAGATTATGTACCGTTTCACGATACTCGCGATGATATGGACTTGCAGCATTCACAGATGGCTGGCAAGAAAAATTTTCCCTCGCAAAATTTTCATTCTAACTACAACGCGCAACACAGATTATTCGAGAATAGATATTCGTCGAAGCCTTTTCAAAACGTTAATGCGAGTAAAGAAACTAGAATACTTTCCAATGTACCACCTCTGCCTGTAATTAATACATCTACTGCCAATCCGATAATCTCTACATATCCGTCCTTCATCGACGCGCCAATAAGTTCTAATGAAAAGCCAAAAGTAAAGTTCTCGGATACTGTCACTCATATATTAGTACCTGGTACAGTGAGTATACAAAATATATTTTACATCTGTAAAAAAAATGTTTAATATGTATTCTATATATATATATATATATATATATATATATATATATATATATATATATATATAACAAAGCAATGTACAGAAATATGTTTCTGTACAGGTTCAAGTACACAGACAGAAACGACCTGCTACGCAAGTACATGTAACAGATCCCAAACGTGAATTAGCTGAAAGTCTTCCACTCTGCCTGGGTAATGAAGATTATCTTAAAGATTTTCAACCATTATCTAGTAAGTATTTTATATTAGCACATATGTTTTTTTGTGTGTTAAGAAGCATTAATTTAAAAAAATATACACTTTATTTGCATATATATCATTAAACATTTTTTTACTTTGCAGAAGACGACATAGACAAGAAAATAAAGGAACCTCCCAAATCTGATGACAGTACAAAGATTAAAGTTGTGCATTTTGGTTTACTGTAAATTTACGAGTATTAAGTATTAAGAGAATTTATTAGAATTAATATTTTTAATATCTATTACGTATTTGCACATACCATTTTATGTGTATGTGTATTGTTATGAGATTAAACAGTAACAAAAACAAGATAGAGACTGTCAATTGGACAATCCAGTCACAGGAAGTACTCTCCTAATTCATTTTTAAATCTAATCTCTTGTAATTTTTTCACAAGTTTTCTTTGTTGGAAATAGTCTTTTATTACATATTGTGATGTGCGTCGTGTATGCATACACCTATTTTATATTATATATTGTCAAAAGAATTTAACATATATCATAATATATTTTTGTATGCAGATACACATTTTTAATTCAAAATTTATAGCAAAAGAAAAAACATTACTTCTTTTCAAAAGCAATACACATCACAATATTATTGTTTTAAACTTTTATGTTTTTTGTAAAATAGTTTTCTTTTCTTCAAGCTATAGAAAAAGAGAATTACAAATATTAATACAGATATATTAATCTTTTATATATATTAATTTTATATTATTCATATTACTTTATTATACTTGTATTTTTATATTTATTATGTTTGTATTTATTGCTTGTATTTTTATAATTTTTTTATATAAATATATATCTTAGGAAATAAGAAAAAGGTTTTTCGACTAATTTTATAATAGTTTTTTGCAAAAATTTATATATGCTGAGAAAAGATCTTTATACATTAATATACATAAAAGCATTTTATTGCATTTAAATTTCTGTATCAATAATTTATACTTAAGTTTTAGTCTTTAATGTATGTAATGAAGATTTCAAATCAAGTAATTCTTTGTCTGGTACATATCGCTTCAACTCTAACGCAGAATCATAAACGTCTACATTAAGAGTAACACCTTGTGGAAGGGATGCCTCCAATGCTCTAATTAATATTGAACATTTGGTACTAGATACCTCTGACAATTGTATATGTCTTTCATAAATCTTAAGATTATATTCAGATATAATTGCCGTTGTTCCAGTTTTATATCTCTGAATTTTGAATTCCTGAGGTGGTAATGCCCAACTGAAAGAACATGACGTTAGAAAAATTGAAGAAACAACATTTAAATAAATTAATGGAAATTTACCTGTTGTCTACATCAATTTGCATGATATCTGCCAATTTATTCATGAAAGCTTGGTAACATTCGAGCACCGAATAGTCGTAACCCTTAATTTGTATATTTATCGTAGGTAGAAGTGGAATTTTCGATTTTCCTGTCTATAAAAAAAGAATAATATTAAAAACGACACAAAATATTATACATATATTTTAGTATTTACGATTCATAATCTAACCTGTAAATAATCAGGCTCGTACAAGCTTCCAGTATAAAATTTTGCAGCTAAGGTTTTCCTTATGAAAGGATGTCGTTTAAGTGGTATAATCTGAAATAAAAGCAATCAAATACAATTGTAATACATAAATAACATAAAAATTGCATTTTTACACAGGTTTTTCAGTAAAAATTAGATAACTAAATTATCACGAGAAAACAATATACCTGTTTGATTAGATTTAAAACCATTTTTTGTGAAAAATAACAAAATCAATTTTGAAAAACTTTTAATTCAAAAATCTTCAAAAAAGTTTGATAAAAGCAGAGAAGTTTCTCTCTGATAAAAGTGTAAATTTTCTTCAGCTGATCAGCTGATCGCTTACGTCTCTGTTTCTAAATGACGTTGTCTGTGACGTGTCGTTTCATGAAAATCCTGTCCTAAATAAGTTAACGTAGCGTTTGCCAAATTTGTATACGTGTATAATTTATATTATTGCGGTAAAAGAAGATTATTTAATCTTAATTGATAAAAATAATTCTTTAAGATAATAGATGATGTTATAAAAAGAGAACCGTGTTAAAATTATGTAGCATGTCGAAAGGACCCTGACACCTGTCAATGTTTCACTTGTGCTAATAATACTCTGCAACAAATGTTAATATTGATATTAAATAGCTTCCTAAGAAAATCATGGACATCGAGACGGAAAATGTAATAAATCTGGTATTTCCAGAAAATATTCCAGGTAGAACTAATTTGCTCCTTGGAAATTAATTGTTGATATGTTTGCTCAATATTGTATATAAGTTTCATTATATTTCAATTATATTTTATATAATTATCATTTTAGAATCGTGGAAAGAAAATCCTGAATTTTATCAATACCTCTCAAAACTTGGTGGCTTTGATGTAGATCAGCTGAGTAAGGATACTTTTATTAGTTTGTTTTGAACTTTAACTTTGCAACCGTATAAGATAATTTTATTCTATTTCAAGCACTGTATAAGATTATTTTATTCTATTTTAATTTTGCAGGTAAAGAACCTGATCACTTGTCCGATGAGAAAAATGCAGTGCTTCAAACTACACAGGAATTGGTTTTTGCAAACTATAAAACTTTTATCCAGACAGCAGAGAGTTCCCGAGAAATACTTAATCATGTAATCTCAAGAAATATAAGTTTAAAGAATGCATCAATTTTTAAAATAATATTAATTGCAAATTGCATTATTTTACTTTTAGTTCAATGAGACTGAGAACCGTCTTGACAAACTTGTAGAAAAAATCCCGAAATTTGTAGAAAAGTGTCAATCATTTTGTGACACTTCAAAGGATATTAATGTGCATCGAAGATTAAATAGCTTAACGCTGACACGAAATGCAGAACTGCTCGAAATTCTTGAAATGCCCCAATTAATGGAATCATGCTTGAGGAGCAATCAATATAATGAAGCATTGGAATTGTCTCAATATGCTCGTCAATTAGGAGTAAAACACGGAGATATTCCTATTATTTCGGTATAACTTATAATTTAAAATTCAATATAACAATTTAAAATTTCTTAATAGTCGCGCATATCTTTGACTTAATTTTTTATCAATTTCAGTCTATAGTAGCGGAGATTGAAAGCAGCTGGTCAGGAATGGTAGGACAAGTAGTCGGATCTTTAAGAGGAGATTTGCCGCTTCCAAGATGTCTTCAGCTTGTAGGTTTGCTACGATCAATGGATGCATTTACGGAACCAGAACTTCGCATAAAGTTTCTTCAAGCAAGAGATAGTTGGCTACAAGGCTTGTTAAATGCGATACCGAAGGAAGATCGTAAGAGTGTTTTACTACAATTATAAATTACGATTCAGAGAACTATCAACTTATACTTGGAAAAATCATTGATTTTTTTTTCATGCTTCCAGCTAATGTTCATATAGCCAAAACGATAGAATTATCTAGGATACACTTGTTCAATATAATAACTCAGTACAAAGCTATGTTTAACGATGACGAATTAGTAATCCCTGGCCGTGATTTGACGCTAAATGAATCCGCGATATTTTATCATTGGCTAGAGGAAAAGGTAGATATGTCAAAAATTAAAAAAAAAAACAGAAATATGTTATTTAGGATCGTTTTTTTCTAGATATCGCAATTTCTCGCTACATTGGAGCAAGACTTACCTGGTGTAACGTCCATAGATTCCATTCTAGGCCAATGTACGTATTTTGGATTATCATTTGGTCGAGTAGGTGTGGATTTTACTGGCAGAATATCGGATATATTTGTGCGAGTCATTGGTGAAAGGTTTGAACAAGATATTCGTAGAACAACTAGAAAGTTTGAGAAAGACATGGAAACGTTTACATTGATCAATAAAACACAACGACTCGATATCAAAACGGAGACTACCATTATCTCTGTAAGTGTAAAATTGTGCATACCTCTTTCTAAAAATTTATATTTATCTACAATTACAATTCTATCTTTTACCAGGAAAATCCGCCTGAACAATTGGTTGAATTTTATCCTCTGGCCGAATATTGCAATGGAATAATAACAGCGTTCAATGAACTGAGACTCTGTGCACCAGTGGCACTCTCTACCTTATGCACAAAATTGCTCCAGGAATCATTGCATAGTGTGGCGAGAGCTATGTTGATATTTTACAAGCAAGAACAGCAAGTGAGTTGTCTTATAATTTTTGTTTACTACAAATAAATTACGTATTCTTGAAAAATGTGTCTTACAGGCCTTTGCAGCAGCGGAACGGGAAAATATGATCAAATTCACGGAATGTTTGAGCGAACAATTGATTCCTTATATACAGCATTGTATACACTTGACCTTTCCACCTGTCCAAATTGCGATGCATTTAGGAATATCGGTCAATGTACTCCAAAAAGAGGTATATATCAGTAAATTATATGTGTGTACAAAATAGATACATATAATAATGTAAAATTATTTTGTAGGAAATTACATATTTAAATAAGAAGAGTATATTAGAACCTGTGGTTATACTATTGCCTATTAGAAAAGATTCTTTAAAATTATCCGTGTCTAATATACAGACATTAACATCACATGAGACAAAATCTTCCCTTGCATCACTATTTTCTTTGCCAACAAAAACTGTGGATTCTACCTCAAAAACTATTGAAATGGAAGAAGCAAAGAAGAAAGATATTATTCAAAAAGGGGCGAAGCAAAATGTACAAAATTTGCAAAATTTTGTTGACAATATAAATCAAAGTATTTAATTGTTCATTTTTTAACACAATTGCTTGCTATTCTATATATATATATATATTTGTAGTGTAAATAAAAAATTTTGACAATTTCGGACAACTTATTTTTAATGTGTGAAAATGCATACAGAGAAGATAAAAATTCAATAGACGAACCTGCGAGATTGCAAAATACTTGAATCTTAAAGTAGAAAAGCAGCAATTAGGCTTCAACACGGAGACAGATATGAAAATATTTATTCCTTCATAGATTCCTCCGTGACTTGACTCGGCTGCGCGGTTTCGTTCTCGTTCTTCTTCTTTTTGCTACCGGAGACGATATCGTCGATTCTTAGTAACAGAATAGCGGTCTCGATCGCAGTTTTGTACGTCTGTAACTTTACAGACAACGGCTCCCATATACCATATTCCTTCATGTCGACCAATTTACCCGTTTCTCCATCAATGCCCCAGGTGGTTCCCTCCGTCGCGTGTTTTGCGCGTAATGCCGTCAGCGTTCTAATCGTATTCGCACCGCAATTCTGCGCCAGAGTCCTGGGGATGATTTCTAGAGCCTGTGCGATCGCTTTGTACGGCCACTGTTCCACACCGGCAAGACCCGCTGCTTTCTCCGTTAACAGCCGCGATACAGCCATCTCCACTGCTCCACCACCTGGGTAAACAGAAAATAAAATATTTAACACAATTTTAATGAAAATAAAATATTAGCAATCTTATTATTAAATATTAGCACATGACACACGTACCTGGTACAAGTTTCGGATCGATGAGAAGATTTCTCGCGACGTGCAGCGCATCCTGTAAATTCCTTTCAGTTTCATTCAAGACGTCCTTACTGGCTCCTCTCAGAATGATGGTACAAGCTTTGGGATCCTTGCATTCTGTGATGAAACAGAAATAATCGTCGCCGAGTTTCTTGATCTCGAAAAGGCCAGCTCCCGTGCCGACGTCCTCTTCTTTCAATTCTTCTGTACGATTCACGACAGTGGCACCGCAGGCACGAGCGATTCTGTTAATGTCGCTCTTTCGTAGTCTACGTATCGCGGATATGCCGGCTTTGACAAGATAATGCTGAGCGAGATCGGATACACCCTTCTCCGTTATCACGACATCCGGCTTCACAGAGATAACATCTTCGCAGATCTTCTTTACATGTTCCTCTTCTAATTCTAAGATCTTCGTGAAATCGGTATCCTTCATTATCTCAATATTCGTCTGAGACTCGCCCTTCTTATATTCCAACGGACAATCCAGCAGCACTATTCTCGGATTTTTTATGTAACGTTTCATTTTTGGATGTGTCACATCCTTATTGATCATTACACCCTTCAAGACAGCACTGTCCTCTATTGTACCACCTGGTATTTTCTCTACCTTTGCATAACGTTTAATGTCAATTTCTCTTCTACCGTTTTCCTCAAGCATTACTATATTAACGGCATCCAAGGCAATCTGACACGCCAATTCGGACCAACGTCGGATAAATTTAGTGCCTATACAGGAGTTGATTACCTGGACTAATTTATTTTTGTCATTGCAATCTAAATCAATACTGATTTGCTCGTTAAGTATTGTGACTATATCTTCCAAGGCTTGACGATATGCTCTTATGATGACAGTGGGATGCATATTCTGTTCCAAAAATGGTTCGGCAGTGGCCAAGATCTCACCCGACAGAACAATGACTGATGTAGTGCCATCTCCTACCTCCTCATCCTGAGTCCTGGCAATTTCTATCATGGATTTTCCAGCAGGATGCTGCACAGTGATCTCACGTAGAATGGCATTTCCATCGTTTGTCATTACAATGCCGCCCATTGGATCCATCAACATCTTCAACATAGCTTGTGGACCCAGACATGTTCTTATAACATCAGCAATTGCCTTCAAAATCAAAGATTTATTAAATTAAAAACTGTATATAAATATTCTGCATTGTACTTTTGCAACATACTTAAAAAAAATGTTATCTTGACAAATAAGCCCAGATCATGACACTATTATTTTCGTCGAATTTAAAAATGAAGCTATGATTGTTACAAGTTGTGTACAGAGAAAGAAATCATTTACACTGAATCAACTGCATATTACTATTACAAAATCCTACAAGTTAAAAATGATAATATGCGATGTAAATATATTTCGATTAATAATCATAAATTAGTACTCGATTGACGAGTGATCAGATTCTTGTCACTTTGGAGAACTGTAGATGTGCCGGCAATAAAATCATGCCTTATAAGGCGATACTTGGCTGACTCACAAAGTTGAACGCTCACCTTGCCTGCCTGAATGTTCTCCCTTTGCACTTTCCTGCCAGTGTCCCGCTTCGTGTTCTGGCCTGCAATAATCAGAATATTTGACATGATCGGGCGATTTGTAGAATACAAGAATTGTCAAATAATAAATATAAACAACGATAGAATAATTTCAGATCGTGCGATTTTTTTTTTCAACGCATGCGTGCTCGCGAGTTCGACGAAAGGTAACCTTTAACATACTCAGAACCACAATCGGCGCCGCTCCGGGTCCAAACATCGTATTTGCAGCTTTTTACTTTGTTGTTATGACCTTCCCTACGGAATTATTGGCCGTACACAGCCGTAATTTCGTAAAAAAAGAGGAAGAAATAAACACTGTGTATCTTCCGAATAGAAGCACGAAAGGCACAGCGAGGCCACAAATCACGAATAATATACTTCATGTAGAGAGGGAACAGAGTTGCGATTTCGCGAAAGTTGCAGTGGATAACTTTTATATAAAATGCTAGTAAACTTACTGTCAACACGAGTTCTGATTGGCTTCTGCTTTTCTGCCAATGTGTGAATCCGCCCTAATAAGAAAAAAGCTTTATTCTGTATATTTTTGGCCGATTTCTGTAATTGCATGTGCTAAAATATTCCAATTATGCGTAATAAATCATTTTTCTATAGGCACGCGTAGTACAAAAGTGTCACATGTAAAATTATATATAAAAATATTATATTATTATTATAGCATCGAAAGAAATATAATATGTATCTGATCAGTATTATAATTCTTTAAATTTTATATTTAACAAGATCTAAAGATAATAAAATATCTTTGTCGGAATCTCGAATGGAAAGAATCTTATGTATATATATATAAAATATTTGCATATCATATAAAAAAATTTGAAATCATACTCACTCTGACTAAATTTCGATTAATATAATCAGCAATTTTATTATTTCGACATGGAAAGAGTTATTAATTTTCTTTTGTTTATAGTTTTAAAAAATTAAGAACAGATGAGTATATATATATATATATATATATATATAGGTAAACATTTTATTGCAAACAATAATAATATATGCAAGTTGAAATATCAATATAATTGTGCTTCCCCCCCTTAGATCGCATATCGTCTGAAATTAAAATAATTATTTTCACGGGACGCAATGTTCTGTCAACGATTAACAGCTGACTAATTGTCAGCTTCGTACGATATTGGAAAATAATTTTCAGTTTCAGTAAGTTGTACTACACGCGATCTCTTCAATGAATGACATATACGTAGCATGCATTTGCGTGTATTTATATCTACACACTTGCATTTATGCCAATACAAATAGCGACAGTGCTGCGGATGTGGTGCACAGTGATGGATGGGGAAGATTTATGTTGAGTCTTTTAATTAACGTCACCGCGATGGAGAATACGAGCGATAAGTTTTTTTACGTGTACAGTTCTTCATTAGACACCAGGATACAAATTAAGATGTAAGTTTTCGACGTTGTTTACGTCACTGTTCGATCCGACCTCAGGTTATCATATGATAAAAGTACTTTAACATTCCTTTCGTGTGATGCAAAGATTAATTATACACAGCGTAAAATAATCGGATCAGAGAATAATTAACTTGGCGACAATATGTGTATGTATTCGACCATCTGCTCGTCGTCGTTGATACCAATTATATATGTAACTTTACAGAATGTGACGTCTTTGGGTTTAACTTGTCTATCAGACATGTAATTGCTGTATTATTTTATAGAGGTACCTTAGAAGGCAAGAGACACAGACCTGAATACGATGAGCTACTTCTCGATCCTCTACTGAAGTACTCAGGTTTGTACGAGACATGTGGGATTCGTGGTGATCTAGCTGCGTCTCTGCAAGTATGGGCCGGTGGTAGACCTTTGGCTCTGCCTGTACATACAGCCTACAAACACTTTACCTCTCGCTGGAAGTATGTTGCATTTTTAATTTTATTTTAGATGATTTATTGTTATTATTAAATTATATCATGATATCTTTAGCTGGAACCAGTGGGTGTACCTACCAATTTCCTACACGGATCTGCCACGTGATGCGCAGCTATGCATAACTCTGTACGACTGTGCAGGACCTGGCAGACAGCTTCCAGTGGGTGGTACAACTATATCACTGTTTGGCAAGCATGGAGTGTATCGACAAGGCATGCTGGATCTTAGAGTATGGCCCGGGGTAGAAGCCGATGGTAATGTTTTGACCACTACACCAGGAAAAGCTAGAGATCATGGGAAAGAACAAATGCAAAGGCTCGCAAAACTCGTTAAGAAGCACAGAAATGGGCAAATAAACAAAATTGATTGGCTGGATAGATTAACTTTCAGAGAGATCGAATTAATCAATGAAAGGGAGAAAAGAGCATCAGAGTATTTGTATTTGATGATAGAATTTCCAGAAGTAACAATGGATGGTGTACCAGTATGTAGTATAATTAACTAAAAATGCTTTTTATATATAAAAGAATAGTATATAATTATATTTTCTTTTTTTTATAGTATTCAATTGTATATTACGAAAAGGATGGTGACGAAGTTTTTCAACATAGATTACAACCAGATGTCGTAACACTTCCGGATTATGAGATTTTACAAGTAAGGTTTTACAAAAGAAAATATATAAATAAAGTAATGTACACGAAACATATAATATATGTTTTAAGTTATCGTCAAATAAAGAAAAAAGATCAAGTTTATGTATTTTTCTTTTAGGAGAATCTTGTCGAGGCAAAACATCATAAATTAGCACGTAGTTTACGTAGCGGAGGTAATACTCGTGAATTAAAACCCACTTCGACTGTGCGGGACGCCTTAAATACGATATTGGGATATCCATCGACAACTGTACTTTCCACTGAAGAGCAGGATTTGATTTGGAAGTACAGATTTTATTTGTCTAGCCAGAAGAAAGCACTAACCAAGTTCGTAAAATGCGTAAATTGGAAAGTCGCTGGTGAAGAACGTCAAGCCTTGGAGATGTTAGCTTTATGGGCACCGCCTGATTCTGAGGATGCCTTAGAGCTATTAGGGCCTGCGTTCACTCATCCGGCCATTAGAAGATACGCGATTAGCAGACTCAATCAAGCTCCAGATGATGATTTAATGTTGTATTTGCTGCAATTGGTGCAAGCCTTGAAATATGAAGACTTTGAAAGTATTAAGGCTGCTTATCAAGCAATGCTAAAGGAAAAGGAAGAGAAATTGGAGTCAAAAAGTTGGAATACCGATAAACTGGAAAAAAGCGAAAGATTAGAAAAAACTGATAAATTAGATAAAGATATAAGAAGTAGTGATTCTACATCTACTCCAGTTACAACTGTGAGTTAAACTTCTCTATTAATATATATGTATTTTATGTCATATCTCATATAAAGCATATTTCTCATTATATTTTTTTACAGTCTAGTGAATCAGAGAGTCAATTATCAACGAGTCAAGAATCGCTTATGGACTTAGCATCGTTTTTAATTACACGTGCTTGTCAGAACTCAATGTTAGCTAATTATTTTTATTGGTATCTTTCTATCGAGTGCGAGGATCAAATTGATCCCGCGATAAGCGCCAAACAAGATACTCGAGTTAGAGAAATGTACGTCACCGTAATGAAAATGTTTTCCATGACGTTAGCGCAGGGAAACACCATTTGGCAAAAGAGAAGAGCGTTTCTCTTACGACAGAAGGTGTTTATAGATCAATTGGTGTCTTTGGTAAAAGCTGTTGCGCGAGAAAGCGGAAATCGTAAGAAAAAGACTGATAGATTGAGAGCATTATTGACAGATCCAGATCCAGCATTCAAGATCAATTTTTCAAATTTTGAGCCAATACCTTTCCCATTGGATCCTGAGATTTGTATTAAAGGAATTATTCCAGAAAAGTACATATTCAAATTATTTGGTGTATTATTCATGTTCATATTTTATGTATACTTAAATTTTATTAATTTTATTTAGGGCAAGTCTCTTCAAATCTGCACTTATGCCATCAAAGCTTACATTTTTGACAACAGATAATACCGAATATATAGCTATCTTTAAACACGGAGATGATTTACGACAAGATCAACTAATTTTACAAACAATAGCACTTATGGATAAATTATTAAGGAGAGAGAATTTAGATTTAAAGTTGACTCCATATAGGTAAAAAAATTTTATATAAAGAGTAATATATATTGTGTTACAATAGTTGTTTCATAATTTTTAATCATTATTTCAGGGTACTTGCGACAAGTACTAAACACGGTTTTGTGCAATTTATTGAATCCACAACAGTCGCAGAGGTTTTAGCTAACGAGGGATCAATATTGAATTTCTTTCGAAAACATCATCCTTCTGAAACTGGACCTTACGGAGTAGTACCTGAAGTTATGGACACTTATGTTCGCAGTTGTGGTGAATATTATAACTCTAAAAAAGAACAAATAGATAATAAATAAATTTAATTATTATTTCAAAATTTCAGCCGGCTATTGCATAATTACATATGTACTGGGTGTTGGCGATCGTCACTTGGATAATTTACTTCTCACGGCATCAGGTATATTCTTTAAATAAAAAAAACTTTGCGATAAATGCATTAAACGATTTATGCAATATTTTTTGTTATTTTCCAGGCACACTTTTTCACATTGATTTCGGCTATATCTTAGGTAGAGATCCAAAACCTTTACCTCCTCCGATGAAACTCAGCAAGGAGATGGTTGAAGCTATGGGTGGCGTCGGTTCCGAACATTATCATGAATTCCGGAAGCAATGTTACACAGCGTTCCTTCACTTACGCAGACACGCCAATTTAATATTGAATCTATTCTCGTTGATGGTGGATGCCAGTGTTCCCGATATCGCTCTGGAGCCGGATAAAGCCGTGAAGAAAGTCCAGGATAAATTACGATTGGATTTAACCGATGAAGAGGCTGTGCATTACGTGCATAATCTTCTGGATCTGTCTGTCACTGCGGTGATGGCTGTGTTAGTTGAGCAACTCCATAAATTTGCGCAATATTGGAGAAAGTAATGAGACGAAACGTACATTAATGTACAGTGAAATCGTGCAAACTGTGTTCCTTTTCATAGAAACGCTAGAATTATTATTCTATATTATATATAAAACGACCATGGCGTGTTTATAATATATTAATATAATTTATTGTACTTTGGAAATATTTTAGGCAATAAATCTTTGATAAAATTTATCACTTTTATTGCCTGATACTATTTCAATCAAGTTTGATAACGATATATTAATGAGAGAGAGAGAGAGAGAGAGAACATTCCTTTATAATACATATAATTATTATATCCTAAATATGTGCAAAAATAATTAAATTTTAGACAAATAACTTACAAAATATTGTATTTTATCTTATTTTCAAAATTTTAACAAAAGTATGCTTAATTGTAATTATTACTTTTTGTTTCATAAAATATAATTTAATTGGTAATAGGTTATTAATCGCAGAGAAACGACAATATTTATTCATTGTACATGTAATCTGTTATGTAAATACTTGTATATTTATTTTATTCTTAATTACAATCGTGTATGTGGTGCACACAATAGAAATAAATGTAAATAGATTCATATTGTTAGTGTTGAAAATATTAGATTGTTATATATGTGAAACGCAGATGAGAACTATGTTTATTCTTCTGTATCACTTTATGTCATTTATGAATTTAAGAAGTCAAAACATAGCAATATATTTATATATATATATATATATTTAGCATACATACACATCTCATTTGTATCAGAATTTTTTCTTTAATAGAAAATGTAGTTATGTATATATATATGTTTTCCCATCTTACAATAGTATATGCTAACTGTAGATATATATGAATTTTAATATAACTTTGATATATATAATGCATATACATATATCAAAAAATTATAGAACATTAACAATTCAGTCCATCCTTGAAGATTTCTCAGGTTCTTCTTACGTTCTACGATATTATATCGAGTTTTTATCTGTTATTTAGTGTAATATAATTCACAAAAATCATATCTTTCGATATCGACGTATAATATGTACATACGTGGCTATAATTAAAAAAAAAACGCCACGAGAAATAAAAACAAATTTATTTTTGAAATAACATGAGATTATAAAGAATATAGTATAATATTTCTTATGCCATTTTCTGATAAATCTGTCTTGCTTGAGGATTGCACATAAGAAATCTTCATTCATTATATCCACTCTATGTAATTAAAATCTTCACATTCTGCTACTTACATACTTACTGTGAAATCTTTTTCAGGATTTATATCTGATGAGATAAATCTATTTAAGATATACATGACAGATTCCGAATTAATTTAGGCATCTCAAACACGACAGATTTTCTATTAACAAAATTTCTACGCGCTTTTCTTTTACACATCAATCATCTCATTAACACTCAAGATAGACACATCATATAGGTGAAATAATAAACATTTTAATTTATTTTCCATATATGTTGTCTATAAACTTTTCATCCTACGAACTAAAACGTAAGCCTAATAGAGAACGATCCTCGTTTCGCTCAAAGCCTTGCACATTTTAACGTCGCGTACAATTTAAAAAATTATTACATTGTTCACATATACAATTGAGCAAAGCGAGGCGTGGCGTAACTTATCCACGAAAAAAAGTTAAGTCTTCAAACGAGAAAGTTCTTATTTATTATCGCGTCTTCGCCAAATTGCAAGGTATACATGTTTTATTGTAATGGATATACGATAAGACGTATTGTTTTCTTTGTATTGATCCCAGATAGCAAGCATACGTCATTTTTACATTTAATGACGTGAGTTTGCTACTTGGGGGTGTAAGCAAACTGGGAAAACCCAGGCAGAGAATATAAGGTACTAAAAAGGATACAAAACAAACGAGAATATACCAATTTTGATAGTTTAAAAAGACTAAAAAGTCAGGTGTATTGCCAGAAGCACCATTGGATTTGTTACGGTTCTGTACTTCTTATATATAATTACATGACCTCTCTCTCTCTCTCTTTTATTTCTTAGAAGTGTGTTATAAATGAAACTTGCTTACGTTACGACTGGACATTACGGAATAGCAGTGAAAATCTTGGGATTCTTTCCTTCTTGATTTTACAAATATTTCATTTCGGTTATTATTCATATTTGATTATCATGTCGCAGACATATTTCTCACATCATCTTGTAAATAAAATCTTTATCCTGCAATCCCCATCGTAATTCTCACTACTACTCCATCGTAAAACACACAGAAATATTGACGGAGAAATCGAAAACCGCTCATCTCTGACATAAATCTTTACGATACTCTAAACAAAGAATAATATATAATTCTTTATATACAGGATGTTTGTCACTTTCTCGGATGGTAATATAAACGAAATCCAGTCTGACATATTCCTACTTAAAACATGCTAAGCTAGATGTTTATTATTATCGTTCCAAAATGTGACACGTAGACAATACATCCTATATAAATAATAATCAATTTAATTTTTATGTGATTATATACATTTCCTTCTCAAACGTCGAGGACAGTAAAATCAAGATTATAACGCAATTATAATGCAATTATATATGAAACCATGTATATATAATCCCTCCGTACCGGATTCTAAAAACAAATTACACATATTCGCGACTTTTTTTTGTTTTTCATTTTAACACGCATCTCTTTGTACGTAGGGGGCCTAACAATAAAACCTAAAGCTAAATTTTACCTTAAGAGTTTTCAGAGCGCTTACTTAACACATTACTATAATTTTATCTTAACAATCAAATCTGTTTCATATGTACATTTGAAAATAGACTAAAAAGTCTGTATGTTCAAGGGCATCTGCAGAAGCAGCGACGACCGATAGTCTATTTCAAGTGGGGACTCTTGCTCTTCTCGCTACCATCCCCCGCAGGATATTACCTCTCCATAGGCCTGGTGGCAGGCACCGAACTCTCCACGAGATCGTGCCTCTCGATCGGCGAGTTCTCCAGGGTGTAATCCACCGGGTATCCCTCGGTGTAGGTCGGTGTAGCCTCGCCCTGCTGCCTCAGTCTCAGTTCGCCCGATCGTTCCTGATAAAAGCTCTGCGACGCCTCGATGTTTGGCGACGTGGACGACGACTGCTGCTCCGTCTTACCGTCTAGCTCGTCCGTGGAGTAGTAACTCTGACTCGCCTCGCTTTCGGGTCTGCTGGGATCGTAGTAGCCGGGCGAGATACCATGGCTGGTGTAATTCGGCGTCTCCTCCTCGGTCGGCGTGAAATAGCTCTGACTCACCTCCTGGGGATTGCCCTCGTAGTAACCGCCAGGTGTCACGTGCTCCTCGTGAGGATCCTCCTCCAGTCGGGAGTTCGCGTCCTGGTCCACGGACTCGTAGTAACTTGCCGTCACTTCCTGATGATGGGCGTAATAGCTGGACGGCTCGTTCCGATGATGATCGCTGCTTTCCGTAACGAAATTCTGGGAACAGGTCTCCTCCAGGCCGGGCATCGAGATGGGCACCTCGTACGACGTCGACACGTTCTGCTCGACTATCACCTGGTCTTCGTAACTGGAAGTAGGCACGGAATCTACATGATGAGTCGACGTGATATCGGGATTCAAGTTGTACGACGAGGAGGTCGGGATCTCCGGGACACCGTTGTCGTGGATACTAGCGTGTTCCGCGCTGACAGACGTGTCGGGTATCACGCTGGACGAGGCGATGTTGAGCTCCTCGCACGGCGGAATCTCGTAAGACGACGTGCTTATCGCGCTTTCCTGATCCTGATCGCGTTCCTGATTTTCGGGCGTCTCTGGGACGTAGGACGAGCTCGCCGTCTCGTCCTCGTTCAATCCGGAATTGTTGGTCGACACGGACGACGTGCCGATACCATCGGCACCGATGTCGTTGGACTGCGACGGTATATTACCTTCCTGACTGATCTCGGCGTCGGTCTCCATGTCCTCTGTCAGATTCTCTCCCTTATCGACTTCGTAACTCTGCGTGGGAAAGCTCTGATCATCGATCGTCTCGTCCGCGCTTGGTCGTTCCACCTGACTCTGTACTTCGTTGAAGGATTGCGTCGGTGCGTTGACGTTGGCCTCCGTCGAAACCTCGTCGTACGACTGGGACGCCTCGTTGATCTTCGAATGCTCGAAGGACTGGGTCGGCGGCTCCGCCACGACTGTCTCCTCGTCCGTCTCCATCGACTCGTATGCGATCGATTGCGTGGCCTCGCCGGACGAGCTCTCCAGCTTGCCGGCGGACTGACTAGGTAGATCCGCGGAGTCATTGCTGAGGGATACGTTGAATTGCTCGTATTGAGACTGCGACGGCGTCTCTTGACTAGCTTCCGCGATCGCCACCACCTCTTCCTCCTCCTCGAAGTGCAGCTCCATGCTCCGGCGCAAACGACGCCTGTCGGATTCCTCTTGCGACGACGGCTCGTCCTTCTGACCCTCTTCCGTACCTCGCTTGTCGCTCGTGCTGCCGGCGTACAATTCCGATTCCACCACAGCTTCGTCCACCTCCATGGTCGCGTCATTCGTGGCGTTCAACGACTCGGCTGGTAGAACTTGCGAAGCTGCCGATCCTCCAGTCTCCATCGCTTGACTCGACGTACCTGCTACCTGCTGATCTGTTAAATTAGTTTTACCTTCGGAAAACGTTAGCTGCTTCAGTTGCTTGTCCACCGCGTCCGTCTCCTGCGATTCGGCGGTTTTGAGCTCGCTGGAATCAGTCACTTCGAAGCTCATCCGTTGTGTCCTAGAATTAGATTCGGAGGCGGCTTCATCTATTATCGGTAAACTGGTCATCGGTGCGTCGCCCTCCTTATCGTCGCCTTTCCTCTCCGAGACGCTACCTTCCTTGGCTGATTGCTGTAAGATCAACTCTTCGGATGTGATAGGAACTTCTTGGGAAGAATAGACTTCCTGCGCGGGCTTCTGCTCCTTCTCGGTCGATATAATCTGTTTTTGCGGAGACGCCGGTACTTGATGCGTAGAGATGATCAACTCCGACGTGTCCGCGATGTCATCCAACGGTATATGTTTCACGGAGACTGTCGGCACTTTGGAGACCAGCATCTCCGACACCGGCACGTCCACGAACGTCTGCTCGGCGACAATCGTTGTGGCGAATTGCGAATTGTCCGTATATGTATCGTCGATGATCGGCATCGATGGAGTGGTTTGTACCTGTGGACTCTCTAGGACTATGCTGCTGCTCGGCATGGTGACCGTGTACGAGGCCGAGGGTGCGATCGCGACCTCGGCGCCCTGCACGTTTTGCGTCTCCACCGCGATGTTGTTTTCCAGATTTGGGATCACCAGATATTGAGTACTCGCGGGAATCTTTGTATGATCGATATCTCCGCTGCTCGCTGTTGCCGGACTCTCAATTATCTCGCCAATGTCCGGCATTGAGTTCCCAGGGATTTGAATCTGCGACTCACCCGTAGCAGTTATGTAGATGCTAGGATTCGTAATGGCGATCGGCAACTCGAGAGATGACGGGATAGTGGACACCACCGACGTAGAAGTCGAGTCCGTCGACTGAATTGGCAGATTGCTCGGGACTTCGAGCGGCGTCATGATCGGTTGATTCAGAGTCAACGAGGTCTCCAGCACCGACGGTGATGATATCGGTTCCCTGGGTGGTATAATGGTCGATTGCAGTATCGTCTGATTGATCAGACTCGTCTGAGTCAGACCAGTTTGGGTCATGACGCTGCCGGATGCTTGATTCTCCGGCAAGCTGATCTCCTGCTGGAAGTCCGTATTAGCGAGAGCGGCTGCCAGGATGTCTTGATTCGACGTCTGTATCACGTCCGACGTAGGAAAACTCTCAGTTATAATTGCCGTTTGACTAGCCTCTGTTACGTTGGTCTGAATGTTCGGCAAGACACCGTTGTCAAATTGGAGAACGATGTTATCCAAGGTACCGGCCTCTCCCAGAGAACTAGGATCTATGTACAAGGTTCTCGTGCCGTCTGGGTTCTGCGTAGTTCCCTCCAATGACATAAGAGTGTTATTATCGAGTGGCTGTATCTGTCCTTGTTCGTCAATCGTGACCAGTACGTAGGTTTGCGTACCATCACCGCTTTCTGTCGGCAGGGCCATGATTTGTGGTTGCGCGGCCTGCACTTTCGGCTCTTCCGCTTTTCCGGCATTACCACTGCTTTTCTCGCTCGGAGTTTTCTCGACTTTACCTACCTCTTTCTGCGGAACGGTATCCGCAACCTGAAGATCCGTCTTCACCTTCTTCTCCGGCACGATCGGATCCAGTGGAGGTAACGGCATGGTCGTGACGATATTCGCGTTCGTTGTGACAGTGCTGATCGAATTCATAGCGATATTCAGCAGATTCTTCTGCGCTTTGTTCGAGGCAGAAGAGGCCTTTGTGGAGGACTTCGAAGGGGATGTCTGTTTCGATTGAGCGACCGTCTTGACAGTCATAGGTACATTGGCTGATGTTGTCGTGGTCGTCTGCTTCGCTTGGACATTCTGCACCGTCGATACAACCGATTCCTGGCCTTTCTGAACGACAAACTTCTGCTGAGTCTTCGTCTGACGACCAGTTTTAGGAATAATGACCTTTTGAACGGTTGTGATCTTCCCTTTTGGCTGCACTTGCTGTGCAACCATCGTTACCGTCTGCTGTGCGCCGCTCGGTGAAGCGATGTTGATGGTGGTAGCTCCTGGTTGCATCACTTGTTGCTTGGCGCCCTTCTTACTGTGCGACGTGCTTTTCTGAGGTCCTGTCCCGATGATGGTATTCGGTATAATCAATGTGCTACTTGATTTTCCGGACGGTTGTTTCGCTTGCGTGCTCGCAGCCGATATCGGGACTTTTGGCGATTTTTGCAATGTAGGCAGCTGTACCTTTTGCTGCACCTGATATTGTATTTTGCCACCCTTCACCGGGCTTTTAGCAGCAATAGCCTTCATCTGTTGTCCGCTTATCGGCGTCAAGACGGTACCTTTGCTGCTGACGATGGCCTGTGTGTTTAATAGAGTCTTACCAGCGAGAGTTTGAGGAACTGGTGTCAAGATCGCTTTCGAGCCGCCTAGATTTTGAGGTTGCTGAGATAAAAGAGTAGCACTGCCTTTCGTAATTGTAGTCTTCGAGCCGATAATGGCTTTTCCGCTCAAAGCCGAGGCATTAATCGGAGTATACAGGCCACCCTTGAGAATTCCCTGGGATATCGTACCTAATATCGCCGTTTTGGTTATAGTACCTGAAATCGGAGTGAGTACACCTTTGGACGTAATTATGCCCTGCGTATTAATAATCTTATGACCACCGGTGGTTAATTTTGACGTGGTGGGCGAACCAGTGGAAGCGGCAACAGTAGCAGTGTCAGTCTTCGGCGCGATGATCTTTGAAGTGATTATACTACTCTGCGGACTGATCGGACATAATAACTGGCCCTTACTCGTCATGATTCTTTGTACCTTACCGCTTAGAGACTTGGAAATATTCAGCGGCACCGTTTTCGACTGACCTGACGTAAGTATGACGACCTTGTTACCTTGCTGAATCACTTGCGCGTTGCCCGCCGCCTTGCCGCTGGTTGGAATGGTGATCTTCTGTTGCGTACCGGGTTTGCCTTGAACGCTATAACGTAGTTGCTGTGTGCCCGCCGTTTGTACAACAACGTATTTACCTTTTTGCGTCAAGAGGGGCGGTGCTGTCTTGGCGGTTATTGGTTGAGCACTCTGAAATTTCAAACCCTTTACACCGCCGGTGAGCGGTGGCACCAGGGTCTTGACGCTCGTGATGGTCGGTTTCACTTTGCTTTCCTTCTTCAATATCGCCGGCATGCCGCTCTTCTTCTTCGTTGGCGATGTCGTTTCGGTGACGGTGGTGGTCTCGTTCGCGATCTTAAATTGAGTCTGCTTAGTGGGCGATATTATTCCCGTAGTCGGAGTGAAAGAGAGCGTGGCTGGAATCGAGCTTGATGCTGGTATGATGGAGGATATAACGACTGGCATCTGCTCGATACTCTCGGGTGTTAGAACGTCTTCGCTGAGGACGAACGGCATTGAGTTAATGTCCAGCTCCATGTCCGCCAAACTCTGGGAGCTCTGTTGTATATATTTCTCTGTCACCGGTACGGTAGTCACGATGGTCTGCGTCGTGGTCGTTCCGCTTTGTTCCTTGTTTTGCGCCTCTAGAAGCGCATCCGTCTCTTCTGTCTTCAAAACTTGTAGCTTCTTAGTTAGAGACATATGAGGACTGGATTTTACAGTTTTTACCTTACTATTTGAAGGTAGGGTTTCTATCTTCATTATCTTTGCCTTCGGTCCACCCTTTTGATCGCTTTTCTTCGTGACGTCCATCTCCAATTTATGCTTTGTGCCTTTCAGTTTGTTCGATTTCAGAATTTGCATCGGTTCGGTCAACGCAACATTTTCTATTATTCGCGGCATTTCGCGCTTCTTCACCGGGACACTGATATCGGACGATAGAGATGTAGACACAGAAGTTTTCGGGATTTCGTCCAATTTTTTTACATCAGAGATAGTTTTAGCATTATTTTCGGAAACGGATGATTTAGACGTAACAACTTCGTTGGGTGATGATTCAAGCTGAGTACCTGTCTCGTCTTTAATTTGATTATCGATCTCTATCTTCTCCTCGATAACCACTTCGATATTATCCAAATTGCTCACAACATCCGATACGTTTCCCTCAATAAGAATATTTTCGGAAACGCCTAAAATTTTATTCGAATCGTCGATTTTTGTAGGACTTTGTACAGGTATAGCTGCAATATTTACATCAACTTCTTCAGCTTTCTTCTTGGTAGTCTTCTTCTCCTTCTTACTCTTAGGTGAGTCGGTACCTTCAATCTTCTTCTTATCCATATGTAGAGTCTTCAGGAAAGCTTCCTGAAATGTATTGGTTGATTTTTCTTCCGCAAACAAATCTTTGTCTTTTTTTCCTTTGCCCGTTTCTGGAGTAAATTTACCTTTATATCTCGTCTGCATAGGAGATTTTTTGGGAGTTGATTGTTGCTCGGTTATCGTTTTGGTTGGACTCTTTGGTGTATTTCCTGCGTCATCTGATACTGCGGATGATTTTTCCAGCGGTTTTAATTCAAGCTGATTAACATCTTGTGTATTCTGCGATACTTTTATCGATTGCGTGTCTTGCTCTTTTTCATCTGATTTATTTAATTTTTCCTGTAATTCAGAATTTTTCAGAATTTCCTGCTGTTCTTTCTTGGTGTCCAAAATTTTTGCGATTTCATCTGTCATCTCACTTACTGTCGTTTTTATCACTATTTCGTCCTCTTTATTTACTTTTTCTTTAACATCATTTTGAGATACGGACTGATGTTTAAGTTCAACCTTAGATTCAATAGCTTTACATTCAGATTTAGCTTTACATTCAGATTCAAGTTCGCCCTCGACAGTTTTATTAGTCTGCACATCCGTATCAAAAACATCTATTTGCGATGACTCAAATTTTTTCATCTGAGATTTTTTTGGCGGTAACATATCCACACTTGTTTTTGGAACATCTCGCTGTGTTTCAACTTTATCTTCAGCTTGTTCTAGAATTGAAAGCTTTTTCTGATCTTTAAAATTTTTATTTTTACTTAACTTTAATGAATTTTTCTTTTCTTTCTCATCTGAGGACTTCTTGATAGTTTTGTCCAAATCAATTCTTATTTCCTCCGCTTTACTTGTGACTGCAGTCATTTCTACATCTTGCAAAGATACATCCACATCAATTTTTGCAACAGTTGTTTCATCCACAATAGTTTTTATTCGCTCTTCGAGTACATCGCGTTTTATTTCTTCAGATTTTCCTTCTCCTTTGGAAAATATTTCCTTTTTAGAAACGTGACTATCAAAAACTTCATGTTTCATATCGATGGATGAGACGCTGTTTTCAGCAACAGTTGATGTTTGATCTGACACTTCTATTTCTTGCTTATTCATCTGGGTGACGAGTTCACTGCTCTTCTTGTCAGCATTTTTCGGACGTCCTCTTTTACCTTTTCTGCCTTTACTTACATTTCTTTCGGAAACCTTAGTTTCACTTTCAGATTGACTATCATCTGTTTTGAATGCTTTGTAGTCAGGATCTTGAACATATATATCGGATTCCAAGTATTTCTTGTTCGGTTTACGTCTTCTACCGCTGTACGATCGATCCGTATCAGAATCCGAAGTCTTCCGTTCGATTTCGATTCTCTCGCTCAAGCGAAATCTCTTGCTGCCCCTACCGGTTTTTACTTTCGGGCTTTTGTCTGCATTAGCATTTTTATTAGTTGTTTTCGCGTTTTTACGTGGTCGTCCTCTTCCCCTTTTGATAAATGGCTGGTCAATAGGATTACCTGAGAGATCATCGTCAACGCTTTTAACTCGGTCCAATAGATCAGTGTCTGAATTTTCGCTTTGTTCAGGCATAGTTTCTGCAGATTCAGACACGGTTTCATCCTCTGTTTCCGTGGTGAATCGTTCTGACAAAGTATCGTCCGCTTCTTTCATAGATATGTTATCATTAGATTCCGCGATTACATCCTCCAAGTCAGTTTTCTCGGATCGAAGTACTTTATCATTATGTTTAACATCTGACGATGTTTCGCTTTCTTTCTTCAATGTTTCTTCATCGTTTTTTGTTGGTACATCCGCTGTGGTAATCTTCGATTTTTTTTCACTATGCTTTGTAACATTTGAAGAATGTTCTTCTTTATTACCATCTTCTCTTTCTTCAACTATTTCTACAATCGGTTTAGTATCGGAGGACTTTTTTGATTGAATAGTCTTTTTTTCTTTATCTTCAGGTTGTTTCACTTCTGTTTTATCTTGCACATTCTCCTCAAATTTTTTATTTGCTTTGGCTTCTTTCTTCTCTTGTCGATTGTCACTACCTTGTATTATTTCCATGATTTCATCAGCTTTTAATTCCATGTTTCTTCCTAATTCAGACATTTCGGCTTCTTTCTTTATTTCATTTTTCAAAGCTTGACTCATTGCAAATTCCTTGATAATCTCTTTTTTCAAGGATAAATTTTTCTCACCAAATACTCTGGGAATTTTTCGTACAGGTGGTATCGAAGGTTCGCTTAAATCATCCTCGTCAAAATCGAAACATGATAGCCGTGATTTCTTGTCATCTTTGTCATTCTTGCTTTCATTGTCCGAACTCGAAGTGTCCTTTTTTGACGACTTATTGGATGTTTCGTTGGATACACCGCTCTTCTTAATTTCTGCTTCAGACTCGGATTTCTTATCAAAATTACTCAATCGTTGTATCATCTGCATTGACGATAATTCTTCGGTATCTTTGAGTAATTTCTCTGTTTCTGCTATAATTTCATTATTCTCCACAGCACTCTCCTCATTGTATTCTTTATCGTCGACGCTTGATTGACTCTTCATAGGCGAACTGCTATTCAGAGAATTATTTACATTAATAATTTCTTCGTCTGATTCATCCTCCCAATCGGCCAATAATTTTTCACGCAATTCTGGATCGGTCTTCTTCTTTTTACTAGATTTCTCACTCTGTTTTGAATGCTTTCGTTTACCTGATTCCAAGCCACTCTCACTCTTCTTCTTGCTCGATTGGCTCTTATCTTTCTTTACATATTTTCGTTTCGGTGTACTCGTATCAGAAATTCTAGTACGTGATTGAGAATACGTTTTTACCTTCGATCGTGGTGGCGTCTCCTCGCCGGACCGATGACATTTTATATGACATATAATGACATTGACGCGCGAGGAAGTAAAATTGCAGACATGACAACGATATACCGGTGAACCTGTGTTAGTCGGAGTCGATGGTAAGCTACTGGGTTGTTGACGAATGCGAACCTCATGGTCGCTCTCCCCGCGCAAAAAGCGTGGGTGTGTAATCTTTCTCATGCTGTCCGAGCCATCGCTCCGCCTGTGTCCATCTTCGCGATCGCGCTTCTTTTTCGGAATCTTCTTCTCGCCGAACAGAGCAGAAATATCTGGCTTCTCTTCTGGAGAAAATTTTTCTTGATTCAATATGTCAGGATTACCTCCCGTTAACTTTTCCGCTGTCTCCACATCGCCTGGGAACTTGTCCATATAACTAGTACCATCTTTACTTTTGGTCCTGTATTTATCTATTAAATAAAATTGAACGAGGTTTAATATATAAAAAGACTATCGAGACTATTTATTTAGAAAGTTAATATATAAAAAATACTTACCCAAGCCTTTTTTAATAAATTCATCTTTAAGTGTGCAATTGTACTTGTAGATCTGTTGATAGTTCTTTACAAATTCACTAAAAAAAAAATTATTTAAGTAATTGCTTTCAATAATTTGTATAATTATGCAATAAAGTTGAGATTCCTGTAACTTACTAGGTATCTTCTTGAAAAATTTCACAGCAGCAATTAATGGCTTCTTTTTAAATTCAGTTTGTATATCTTCTGGCAAATTATCCAATCCGGTGACTTGACCAGGCCACCAGCATGCTCCCAGTTTAACCCAAACGACATCTCCATCCAAATAATTGATTTCCGTTTGCTCACACATCTTGGCGTAATATTTGATCAAGTTCTCTCATAAAATCAACATTGGTAAAATACCAAAAAATCTCTTAAATCTATTCTTAGAGGAATACCAGCAATATTGTCCAGGATCAGTATGCTACATGACAAAATAAGTTTCTATTACATTGTGATCTTAATATATGATTAAAATATAACTTATTTGGAAAGAAAAAACAAGTTGCCTTTACAGCTACATATGAATATGTATACATAAGCAAATGCAAAATTACAACACTCGATAAAACATATACAGTTTCACTTTAAAATTCTTCTTTTTATCTTATTTCCTTCACAATTATTTCTCTATCTTTCTTTCACCGAGTTATATTTCTAGGTAAACAAGCACATATTAAGCACTCGTAGATAGATGGTCAATGAATGTGCAATTTCAAAATACACTTACAATCACCAGAAACTATTACTGTACATCCATGGAAACAAGATTCCCTCGCATCGGTAAAGCACTGTCTCTCTAAAACTGTCTCTCTGAAACTGTCTCTCAAACAAATCTTCTGAAACACTCAGCATGCTCCTCTACAACTGTGTGAAGAAATACCCAGATACCCTGAAGTAGATCTTACGGCGCGCTGGTGAAGAACGAGAGACACCCTCGATTGCGTGCTCCGGCTTCCTCGGTGGTGATGTTGCTACAGGCGGCAGCAACTACGTCGGGCATCTTATTGTTAGCTCACGAGTCGCGTGACGAGATCCGCCTGCCGATGTCGGATCCCCTCGCTGCGATTCGTGACAAATTCTCGCTGAGAGACCCGTTCCCGCCTAAACGACGCAACAGACACATTCGTGTGTTCACGATGCGTCGAAGGAGTCGCAAGGAGCGTCGTTCCCCAGGAACGCAACGACGGTGGAAGGCGCGCGCGCGCGCTCTTCTTCTTCTTCTCTCTCTCTCTCTCCGTTTCCCTATCCGTCTTTATCTCTCCCCCACTCCCTCTCTCTCACTCACTTCGTTCTCGCGGCACCTCGCTCGGTCTCTCCCGATCACCTCGGAACCCAGCACCAGGAGGCCGCCAGAGAAACGTCGACGCGCGACTCCGCGCGCATGCAATCGCGACGAGAGAAAGCGGGCCTGAGCGGAACCGGGCTAGGCCGAATTCGACGACAACAACGTTCGGAAGGCGCGCTACGTCGCTCGCGCAACACGACATACGTATATGTTCGGTTACCCGACTTGCAACGGGGCCCCGCACGGTGGATAGATGCGACACACGACCGTACGCCTTGAATGTAGTGTAGACCGAATACCTCCTTCTCTTTCTCTGTCTCGAGCGAACGTGTTGTATGTTGCCCAGATCTGCCAACTGCGCGCGAATAATGCGCGCGCGTTTCGAGTTTCGACTCGTTTTTTTGTCTCCTCCGGCCTGAATTTCCTTCCGGAAAATTCGATGAATATCAATTCTTGATTAATTTCAGAGCGAAGTATGCGAACACTGGTTAGGAACGAGATCTCGTTTTCTGTGGAAAGTAAGTCGCGAATTATACATATTTTTTAATAATATTCCATTATATATATATTTATATATACACTATGTATATATATATATATATATATATATATATATAAAAGAGAAGAAAGAAAAATATGTACGCATTTTTATGTATATATATATATATGATAATGAACTCTTGCGCTCGGTTTCTCATCTACACTTTCTACACTTTCCTATATTTTTCTTTCTTCTCTTTCTAGATAAAGTTAATACGTCGCATCATTTTAAATTCCGAAGATGTCGGAGCAAAGGTATATAGAACGGAAGATCCATTTGTGTTATATTTATATATATTGACCGGGCACGACAATAATTAAATTAGCATAATTTCTGTGACAAAGAAATAAAAGTATACACCCTGCCTCGATAAGGAGAACGTTCAACTTTCGTTGGGGATCAGACAGCAAAGTACAATATATACGTGAGTTTGTTAAAAATATACTTATTTGGTTAGGAAGTTCACATTACGATACGCTTGAAAACATTTACATATATATATATATATATATATATATATTCGTAAAATATAAGACGTTGATTATATATATACATATTTGTCATTTTTTAAATTTTATATATTATAAGTTCTATTACTATCCATATTATTTATATCATTTTCTATATTATATATATATATATATTTATATAATATATATATATTATAACTCGACACACATTTTTCTCTTAGGTCATTTCTCCTATCTTACGTATTATATATTTTTCACGCCTACTATATGATACGAGATTTTTTCTCACTTTTTTATTATGCAAGAATTTAATCAAATATATTCAGATTTTTTATGCCGCAAATTTTTGATATGAAATCAATATATTTTTCGTGTATCTTCTTTAATATATATATATATATTTTTTTTTATATATAAAATAATAAACAAAATAGTTTTCCTCAGTTTCTTCTTGATTTGTAATGACGATCTTTGACGATAAATATCGTGGCACAACTTCTGATCTATATTTATGTAGCATAGGTCAAAGTTCAAAATTCTTGACAAAATGGCGCGAAATCGCGCATGACATTTTTCATCAGTTGGCCATACTGTGTCGCCGGGCGAATTAGTGCCGCTGCTCGCCACAAGGTGGCGCGGAGGTCGCGTCGCGGCGTTCGCTTCCGGCCCGGTGTATACATATATATATACGTCATCGACGTCCGCCAACAACAGACAGCGCCGTTCAATTTTGCTCGGCGCGCGCGTTCAGTTTTTCCGGTCGCGTTGCCGGTTTTTACGCGCCCGTCATTGCCGAAAATCGCCGCTGTCGATCTGTCAATTTTCCCCAGGGCACCTCCGGCCTGACACCGGAAGTGCGCGAACCCGACGTCGCGGTACGTCCGACTCCGCGACGTGCATTTTCGTTTGCTGTCAGACGGAAAAATGGCGACCGCCGTGCCGTCGCGATTCGCCGTCCTCAGCATCGAGGACGACGATTTCAAGCCGAAGAAGACGCAGAAGAGCGCGCCGACGAGCAAGACTAATAATAATAACGCGAAGAGTAAAGGCGACAAGCCGAAGCAACAACAGCCGCAGCAGCAGCAACAGCAGCAGCAGCCGAACAAAAAAAAACAGAGCAAGGTATGAATCGTGCGTCCATTGTTATTGCATTTTTGTTTTTGATTAGCCGGCGAAATGTCAGCCGGATGTGACGTCTCGGCGGGAAATCTAAACATTTCAAATATTTTTTTTTTTTTTTTTTTGAATAAATTTAATACTCCTTTTTTCGATTTCAGGGAAAGAAGAAAAAAATGAATAATGATGATCAGCAATGGGAACAGTGGAAGCAAAAAGATACGATGGTAAAATATGAATTTTTGACGATATCGTGTAAGATTTTTATTTATCAAATTATTTACTTCTTAATTTTGTTGTGCAAAAATTTGTGATGCTTGAATGTGATGCTTGAAGCGTGTTTTAGACATCTTTCTTAAGCATCTTTATTATTTATCTAATAAGATAATAAATTGTTGATATCAGTTTTTTTACAAGTTGTTAAAAATGATTACACTTGAAAAATTGTATAAATCTTAATCTATTTTATTTCACTTTACTTAAAATATTTTATAATTACTTACGATTTTGTCTTATAAATCGTCTAATGATTTCCTTAAGGCTGTCGAGGAAACATTTGAACAGGAATTGCACCAAGCAATTTTATTATCAAAACTTGCATATGAAGAACAATTAGTTAGTGCAGCAAAGAATGAAAAGGAACAAGAAACTAAAAAATCTGGTAAAAAATCGAAGAAGGCAACTATGTCTCTAGAAGAATTTAATAGTATGGGAACAAATGCAACAGTGTTGACAGTAATAACGAGTGAACCTGTAGACAATAAATCAAAAGGTAATTTGATTTATATAATGGAATAAGGAGTTAAATAATTTGGAAATTACATAGAAAAAATAATATTAGAAAAAATAAAATTAAAAAGTATTTATAAATAATAATTCTAATTCTGGTAGAAATAGATGCAGAGTTTTTTGAGAGGGTGGAAAAGGAAACAAAAGAAGAAATAACAAAGGGGAAAGAAAAAGATATGCTGAAAGCTAGATTAAGTAAAATCGATGATGATATAACGTCCGCACAGTTAAGAGTAGAGATTGAAAAACGTGATGAAATAATTGGCCAGTTGAGAACCGAAGTACACACATTGAAAGAAGAGTTAACACAAGTTAAGGAAAGAAATAAAAAACTATATCAAATATTATCACATGGCGAGAGTGAGTATAGTTTTTTCATGATATTGTATTTTTATTACTATATTTTTATGATACTGTATAATATAGATACTGTACTTTTATAAGTTATTAAATGTTGTTGACATTAAGAAAATATATATTTACAATTACTTTTTTCTTTTAGTGAAAGATAAAGCATCCGTATTAGCTGAAGTAGCCAAACTACAAGAAATACGGGACGAATTAACATCCGAAGTAGCTTCTTTACATGCCCAATTGGAGCAAGAAAGATCTAAAACACGTACATCCAGCGCAGACTTGAAAACGTCTAAACAAACTGTAAGATCAGTTTAATAACATGTAATTCAATATATGAAACTACATGATATGGGTAGTGTTTTACTAATTTCCTTGTAAATACATTATTGCACAATATTGCATTGTTATATTTCAGAACAAGAAAAGGCCGGCCAATGAAAATGCCTAATTCGCTTTTTGCGAAAAAACTGTACCATTGTGATCTAATTTTAATTGATGATACATATTGGTTAAGTGGCAATCTGCAGAAACATTACGTTTAGAAAAAGAAAAATTTCGATCTCTTATAATATATTTTATATTTACTTGTTAAATGTAAGATTAAGATACAACTAGATAACAGCTCTTGTTAGCTTGATTGTTTCACGAATGTATACTATGAAAGTAAGATTACAGCCTACATATTAACAACTTTTCATTTTTGTCTCCATTTAAAAGACTGCAACATGCGCTTTTTTTTTTTTTTTTTTTTAACTTTAGCTGTGTATTCTGAAAAAGTAATTTTTCATTTCCAAACAGCGTATATGTGTGCTTTTGAAAATTGATCAGTTTTGAAAGTCATACATAATAGGATAATATTCGTCTCACATATATCAGATATTTATTTAAAGTGCATTGCAGCTAAGGAGTTAGTAAGTAGTTTTTTTTTATTTAGCAATATTAAATGTTGTGAAATATTTTCACAACGTTTAAACGAAATCTGCAAGACTTCCAGAATAAATATTTTATTATGTATAATCTTCCGAACTGTGTACCAACATAAGTGTGTGAATACACGCACACACACACATATATTACTTAAAATATTTTGTAATAAATACCTTCTACATAACATTACTTTTAATCATTAATCAATTCTATTTATTCATGTTTTTATATGACCAATCAGAATATAATTATTTAATTTGTTTTCAATAAATTTAACACAATTTAATAAATAAGAAAAAAACCATGTTACTTTAATAATTAAAGGGTAATTATAAACTTTAATAAAATCATAGAACTTGACAGTGCGAATTGTAAATTTTTTTGCTTTATACTTATATTGAAAATGAAAAGCTCGAATTATATAATTAAGATTAATTAATATTTCATTGAATCACATTGAGATATTTTCTTCGATTTTATATATATATATATATATAGTAATTGTTAATCTTGTCTTTCAGTAATTGTTACTATTTTGTTATTCGGTTTTTATTTATTTGTATAAATATAATTCTATAATTTCTTAAAATTAATTTTGTTATAAATATATTTTTATATATATTGCTAAATATATTCTGCTTTACGTGAATTTAAATTTATATAAGTTATAGTAAAATGTAAATAAAAATAAATTTTATTTATATAATTTACGAAAAAAAAATATATGGAAAAATGCGATTCTTATATTTAAACAGATATATGATTTGAAATTAATGCTGTGTGATTTCCAAATTCGAGGATTTTAGTTTCGCTTTATGCGATTGTCATCATCTCTATATCTGCCAATATCCAGTCCTTTCAACCATTCCAGTGGGCGCTACATCCATTCGCACGATACTAAGCTTCATCCGGATTATACGTGCGGTTGCACATTTTTATGGAAATTTTTTTGTTCGCTTTTTCTGCCTCGAGTTATTCCGCGTGAATTTTTTTTGAGCTCGCTCCCGGCGACTTCAACATACAGTTCGATACGTTACACATTTTCTTTCTTTCTTTTTTTCCTTTTTTTGTACGGCTTTGCTCCATTCGTTCCCTCCAACATGCGTAAAAAAAGTTTCCATGTTCCGTGTTAACTTTAAATATAAATTATATTTTACACGAGAAAAAAGAAACATAGTTCCTAAGCGGATGATAAGAATTAACAATTACCGCATATATATATATATGTGTGTGTGTGTGTGTGTGTGTGTGTAAAATTGAATATTAATGATACAATGAAATGTAATTAGATATTTTATATTTAATTCAAGGCTTTCATTCTTAATATAAGAAATATAAGGTAAAAAAATTAACGATTCGCGCTGTCAAGTTCTGCGATTTTATTGAAGTACGAGTCGCCCCTTTAATAGACCTACATGCTGAAAATCGCAACAATTATGTTGAAGAGATGGCGATTAATACGATGGTTTAATTTCACCCGGAGACTGATATACGGTATAGCGACCTAGGTACAGGCGCGTACTCATCTTCTGACTGAAATCTTGACCAATAAAAGGGGCATTAGCGCTAAGTGGACGCCTCGCCTACTCGGTCATAGTCCTGTTTGCTACTCGAGAGCAGAGGGTGGAAAGTGCGAGGGACGCGTTTAGCGACAGATACAACTACTGCCACCGAATTTGTGCATGTGGCAGCCAATATCGAATTTTCAATCAAATAAGTTACACGTAAATTTTTAGACGATATATTATGTTTTTTTTTTTTCACGAGAATACATCTTTTGTATCTTTTACAATACAATTTAGATAAAAAATGTATTTTCTCTACATTACTATATATGTGTGTGTTATCAGATGCTAATAATTTATTAGATAAAAAATTCTTTAAATAGCGACGAAAGACAACAAGATCTTTTGCAAGGTCTGAGATGAATTTTAATGATGTTTGCGTTTTGATTTTTGCGAATATAAAAATTGTTTCTTCGGGGGGATGAAACGCGACTTTCTCGAATCCATCGCTGCGGAGGGAGAAAGATGAGCATAGGAGGGAAGGGTGAAAGAGATAGGGGTGTGGGTGGTTAGGGAGTGGAGGGGAGAAAGGAAAGGGGGCGTCGAAAGGGAACACGGTAGATTGAGGGTTTTAGGACGCGTAGCGGTATAGGGGGTGACAGTGGGGATTCATTATCTGACAGTCTATTGTCATTCCTGCGGGCTGAGATTTTGCTTGGGCCAAGAGTACCGCGGCATTACTGCTCTCTATATAGATGTATATGTGTGTGGCGAAATGCGATATCTTCAAAAAAACATGTTTGCTGAAAAGTTGAGGACTACATTTCCTCTTACGTACGATGATGTACATTGCTCTCCCTCTCTCTCTCTCTCGTCTTTAAATTCACCACCCACGGATGATACGAATTCGACGTTTTCCTGATATTGCACGGAGAGAATTTTTTCTTTGAATTTACCCTGAAAATCATGGTAATCCTGGGACAATATGATATTGGAAGAATTTTATAAATTCATATTTACCACCATAAAAAATATTAATATGTACATAGTAAATTTTACATAGGAAAATTAATCAAACATATTTAATGGATATTAATATTTTTTATTGTGATAAATATTAATCAGAGAGATTCTTATAAAATTCTTCCAATATATTGTACTATTATCCCACGATTGCCATGATTTTCAGGGTAAATTCTAAGAGAAAATTCTCTCTTTGTGGTTGAATGCGCCAAGCTTCTCAAAATTCTTCTTTTTTATAAATTTCAAATTTAAAATTTTAATTTTAAAATAGCGATATTATTTAATAATTGCCATTCGCTTTTCCAGTCTTCATCCGTTAATAAAATCATAAAATATTTAAGGAGGCTTTCTTACATAAACATATATTCTTCTATTTCTCCCTGAGGAATTACATATTTCTAAATTTTTATTTCTTTTCTCAAATTTTAGACAAATTAAAAAAATGCAACGGAAAATAGTAATTAACCAAGTTTTATTTGTTTAATTTGTGTAAAAGTTGAGAAAAAAAATCGATAATTCGATATTTAAAAAAATTGTTTAGGCAATTTTTGGACAATTTAGTTTCGCGAAATTAGGATAAAATAATTGTAAGGATCGAATTAAGGGCGGAAAGAAAGATATCCCCCTCGAGCTTTAAAGCTTTCAATTGCTTTTATTTCTCTCTCATTGTAAACTATATTATATATTCGTGCGCGATGAATTAATGCGAAAGCGCCAAAGACAATCTCGCACGAGGAAGGGATGGTTATTATTTATCGGATACGCGAGGAATGCGGGGGATGAAAAAGACGAGCGGAAAATTAATTCGAACATTAGGCAGGAAAATTAAGGAGCCGGATCGGCGAAGGGCTCTCGTTGTCACGTTGTTATTCATCCGCGATGCGTATTCGCGGTATCATTAACGCTCTCCCGCGGATTATAGCGGCTCGAATACGAGTGCGTCGTCTTTGTATATGCATATATATATATATATATATATATATATATATATATATATATTGTCGATAGGCGAAGACGAAATTAAGACTAACGAGGAAAGTATTCCTCGCGTCGCACAAAGGGGGATCCTTACCGAAGAAAGGAGTTCTTCGCAGAGGATAATGAGATCGCGGCCGCGATTCGCGATCTTTGAGCCTCGTTCGATCGAAATAATATCCGGAGAGATAAATCGACAAACGGCATTTGTGTATAATTTGATACAATCAGGAAGACGCTCGGGGAATCTCGGGTTTACGACACCGATGTCTGATCTGTTTTGCAAAAGCGGAAGGAATACGAGGGAGGGATGAAGAGACCAACATCGTTATTTCAATTGTACACTCAAATTCGGCTACGTGAAAGAAATTATTCTTAAATTCTTTGGCTCGGCAGTAATGTGGATATTTTTCTTTTAAACAAGGTGTTTCTCTAAATAAGTGCGAAAAATTTTAGATGCTTCTTTGTCGAAAATTAAGGGTGGTTTCTTATATATCAACAGAAGAGTTACACTTTTCTAAATCACAAGTTTTTATTTTTTTTCCTCAAATTTTACACTGAAAAAATGACTAAATTGATAAATATGTATTTCAATACTGCCAAATGAATCATTTATTTGAAATAAATATTTTTCATATCAATATTATTAATTTCAAATAAATGATTCATTGACGGCAGTATTGAAATAAATACTTATTCAAAAACTCAATAAGTCTTTTTTCAGTAGCACACAAATTAAAAATAAAACTTGGTGGATATTTTCCGTTTCATTTTTTTAATTTGTCTAAAATTTGAGAAAAAAAAACTTAGAAAAGTGTAACTCCTCAGGGAGGAATATAAGAGTATATGTTTATCTAAAAAAAAAGCCTCTTTAATTTTCGACAAAGAATCATCTGATCTTTCGCACTTATTTAGTAGACACACCCTGTGATATTTCGACATTATAGGACACTGTGTCACACGAATAATGATCTCGTTAAATAATGGTCGCGGCTACTATATACTAGAGACCTTTGAATACCTGTAATATGTCATCAGAGTCAGATTATATCGCCAAGATTTCGCAAGTAGATCTCGCACAATGTATCACACGATCAAATCGCATCCATATTCAGTACACCGTTCGGCAAATTGCCGCTTAAGACAAGATACATCTCCGCCCTGGTCCATTGGGTGAAACCTTATTATCATAAGCTTCCGATCCCCTTCGCGAGCGTATGCCGACGGAAAATCTAATCTCACGTCGCCATCATTCGCTTTATAAAGA